GCACAGATCTCATCTGAGGCCCAGGGCATCTCTCCTGAGCCTCCATGACTCCCAAGACTGATCTGAGTGCTTCTTTTAGTGGCTGGAGTCCCAGCAGTTATTTTTTCCCACTTTACAGAGAAGGGCCCTGAACTTGACATCTCTAGAGAAGTCCTACATTTCTTGGGCAAGTCAATTCTTTCTGAGCCTTAGTCTCCTCTGTGATGTAGGATTATAACTGCTCCTCCAGCCACCTCGATAGGAGTGTTGTAAGAGACTGTATATACGTGTAGGGTGTTTTATAAACTAAGGGCCAGTTAAACTTAAAGCAGGTGTCAGGCTTGTCCCATTGGCTATCTAGGCCTCCTCTACCTTGAGCTGACCTATCTACATGGTATCAACAAACTCCCTTTGTCCTCAAGCTTCTGGACATGTTGGCTCAATGGGGAGGTCCAGCAAGAGAATGGGGAGAAGGAGAGACATAGCCAGGGTATTTATTTCCCCTGCTCCCTTCCTGAGTATCAAAGTCACTATGGGTTCTCCTGCCAGGTAACCTTCACAGTAAATCCTCTCTCTAGGTTTCTGGCAGAGCTTCTAGCAATGCTATTGGTTCTCCATTGGAGAACTGCTGTTTGTTTGTTTGTTTTTGTCGGGCTTGGGGCCTGAACTCTGGGCCTGGGTGCTATCCCTGAGCTCTTAAGCTCAAGGTGAGTGCTCTACCACTTCCAACTTGTTTTGTTAATGTGGTGCTGAGGAATCGAACTCAGGGCCTCATACATGCAAGGCAAGCACTCTACCACTGAGCCACCGTCCTAGCCCTGCTTTTTCGTTATTGTTATTGTTTGTTTTGTTTTGTTTTGGAAGGGGTCCTGGGGCTTAAACTCAAGACCTGGGTACTATCACTGAGTTTCTTTTGCTCAAGATAGCACTCTACCATTTGAGCCACAGCTCCACTTTTGGCTATTGTTGGGGAGGGACGGGGGTAGATTAGTTAATTGGAAATAAGAGTTTTACAGTCTTTCATGGGCAGGCTGGCTTGGAACCACACACCTCAGATCTCAGCCGCTTGAGTAGCTAGGATTATAGTAATGAGCCACTGGCACCCAGCGAGCATTGTTTTCTTGTGATTTCCTTATATTCTGTTTTCTTCTTATATTCCTTTTAAAAGCCACTTCTGAGATTACCCAGTGTGATTGTGTTATCTTTTTGCTGCTAGACTGACACCTACAACAGACTGATATTTATTACCTCAGTGAGGTTTGAGGAGTTTAATGCTTGCCTACCAGGCTGGAGCCCTGGGTTCTATCTCAGCATTCAAAAGAAAAATAACTAATGAAGTATGGAGCCAAGTTAGAAATCAATAACAAAAAGAAACTTAGGAAATTCACACATTACATACTCCACAATAACCAATAGATTACAAAAAATCACACAAAAAACCTGGAAAATGTTTTGATGTTTTTCTAGAGCTAGAAATAGATTTTAATTTTGTCTTTGATAACAAAAACATCACATATTACCTCTGATGCCCAAATCTGCTTACATATGTGTGTTGCTGCCTTCCTCTCTCTGTGGACGGCCCAGCAGTTGGGTGGTGGGTAAGGCACTGAGCCCAGCAGTCTGACTAAGGGCACAGAGTTGCCCTTTCCAGAGGGGAGCTGGGGAACAGGAGGATCAAGAGCTGGGCTGAGCTAGCACACAGAAGCCATGACTGGAATACAGATGCAACTTGGGGAAGGGCCACTCAAAAAAGCAGTGGCCACTGAACATATGTCCCCAGAGAAGAGAGCTTGCAAAAAAAACACAAAACACAAAACGGAGTGCAGTTGGACGCCGGTATCTCATGCCTAATTCTAGCTATTTAGGAGGCTGAGGTCTGAGGATCACAGTTCAAAGCCAGCCCAGGCAGGAAAATCCATGAGATAATTTTTTTTTGCCGGTCATGGGGCCTGAACTCTGGGTCTGGGCGCTGTCCCTCAGCTCTTCAGCTCAAGGTTAGCGCTCTACCACTGGAGCCACAGTGCCACTTCAGGCTTTTTCTGTTTATGTGGTGCTGAGGAATCGAACCCAGGGCCTCATGCTTACAAGGCATGCACTCTACCGCTGAGCTACCTTCCCAGCCCTCCATGAGATTCTTATCTCCAATTAGTCACCAAAAAATCTGGAAGTGAAGCTATGGCTCAAGCTGTAGAGCACTAACCTTGAGCACAAAAGCTCAGGAACAACACCCAGGTCCTGAGTTCAAGCTCCAGGACTGGAATTAAAAAAAAAAATTAGGGTGAGAATATGTTTATGTGAGGAAACAGGACATATACTTTGAGACTTAGACAATACATCTAGTCACCATGCCACACCTACGTTGCCAGCACTGAACCAGTGCAAAATAACCATGGTGGGATAATTGTGAGGCAAGGCAGCCCATTTCTACTCGTTCCACCCAAGCTAGATTTGTTCCCTCCCTCCCACCTTGTTTTTACGCATTTCTAAGTGCAGCCTCTTCCTCTCTCCCCTCCACCCCCAAATCCTGGGGCTTGAACTCAGGGCCTGGGCACTGTCCCTGAGCTTTTTTTGCTCAAGGCTAGCACTCTACCACTTGAGCCACAGTGCCACTTCTGGCTTTGCCATTTATGTGGTACTGAGGAATCGAACCAGGGTTTCATGCATGTTAGGCAAGCACTCTACCACTAAACCACATTCCCAGCCCCCTTCAGCCTCATTTTGAGCAAAGTCTCCACACAAACACACATGCCAGAGGAAAGCAGCTGCCCTTAAAGATGGCCGAGCCATGGGATTTGAGAAGGAAGCACTTTCTTTTCTCTCCAGCTGTCCCAGTCATCTTGTCTCCAAGACTTGAGGACTCTAGCATATTAGCAGCTCCTGCACCAGGATCTAGCTTCACCTTGCCCCATCCATCAGCTATAAGCATGATACAGAGGCTGTGGAGTCTGACAGCCTCAAGTTCAAATCCTAACTCCATCATTTAGTATCAGTGTCCAGCTGGGTGCTTCAATAAGTCACAATCTTCCCAAGTATAAAATGGAGGTAAGATGGCACTTCTTATCAAGGTTATTGTGAGGCGTGAATGGCATAGTGTCTGTAGTCTCACAGATGGCTCGGTGTCTGGCACATAGCTGACCCAAAGAAGTAGCAGCTATTAAGATGATAGCTTTCCTCTCTCCACTCATTGTTTTGCCAGTCCTGGGCTTGAACTCAGGACCTGGGCACTGTTCCTGAGCTTTTCAGCTCAAAGCTCTACTTCTGGCCTTTTGGAGGTTAACTGGAGATAAGAGTTTCACAGACTTTCCTGCCTGGGCTGGCTTTGAACTGAGATCCTGAGATCTCAGCCTCCCAAGTAGTTAAGATTACAAACATGCATCACCAGTACCTGGTCTTTTCTCCAGTCCTTTAAGGAAAACCTAGGCTCTGTACAAACTGCAACTCTACCTCTGCTCCTGGCCATCTTCCATTATTTCACAGCTCCCCCTGACTATATAGGATACTCACTGAGGGTGGGCCCTGGGGTTGACTTGTCCTCAGGAGTTCCCCAGCGTAAAGCATCAGCAATCCTTTCATAAATATCTATCCACATGTTCTTGACTGCACATGGGTAAGGTTCCAAGGTGTCAGGGAAAGGGGTGCCTTCCCAGTGAGCCACCAAGAGGCCTAGTTTTGTCTTCCTGGTCCCTGCCTACATATTCCTGGCCCCACGGCTGACTTTCCCTAAGCTCTTCCTACAGGGAAGGGCACCTTTCCCCAAACAAGTTCCATGAACCTCCTTTACCTTTCCTGTTTTCCACCAACTGGCAAATTCTGGAACTGAGAAATGTTTTTTATTTTTCTAGTTATTTTAATTTTTGTTAGTCATGGGGCTTAAACTCAGAACCTGGGCTCTGTCCTTGAGCTCTTTTGCTCAAGGCTAGTGATATACCACGTTGAATCATGGTGCCACTTCCTGAGAAATGTTTTGTAGTAAATTCTACATGTTTCCTCACAGGCCTGTATATGCAGAAAGTGGGCAGAGCTGAGTTTCAAACTTCCCATCACATCCTGGAAAAGCAAGACAATCAGGAAGCAATTCAAAGTCAATCCTCCAACTCTGAATGGTGCTTAGGGTTTCCAAGGTCTTGAAAGGTTAGCAAAAGGCCTGGGCCCTGTCAGCCAAAGAGCTGCTCTCCAGTGAGTGAAAGGTAACAGACATTCCTGCCTTCCCCAAGTCCCCAGAGTCTAGAACTATGGCCCATCATGGTTATCTATTCCAGCTTTTCCTGGCTAATCTTTATAGGACCCAAGGCATGAGACTTCTGACATTCCTGTATGAGGAATTTTCTTTTTCTCTTTGTTGTGAGACTGGGACTTGCACGAACTCAGTCTCTGATGCTTCACTCATTGGCTTGGCCCTCTACCAACTAAGCCAAACTTCCAATCTCTAAGCTGAATTCTCTTTACATCACAAGGAAAGAAGACTTAGGAGTGCAAGGAGAGAATAGGGACTCAGAAGAGGTGGTTTAGGGTCTAGAGGGCCCTGAAAAGAGGGAACAACTTCCTAAGTCTGGCCTTGGGCATTGGGAACATCCACAGTAACTTGTCTCTGGGGATTGTCAATCTGCTTTTATTTTCCTGGCACAGCTGAGTTTTCTCTATAAACACGGAAAGTGGAGCATTAGCCGAGTCCTGTGCACCTTCTGTAGCTCTGATGCGCACACTCCAACTTGCTTGTGCTTGAATTTCTAGTTCATTATCATCATTATTATTATTGTTGTTGTTGTTGTTTTATGCTGGTCCCGAGGCTTGAACTCAGGGCCTGGGCCATTCCCCTGAACTTTTTTGCTCAAAGCTAGCACTCTACCACTTGAGTCACAGTCCTATTTCTGGCTTTTTTGTAGCTTATTGGAGATAAGAGTTTCACAGACTTTCCTGTCCAGGCTGGCTTCAAACTCTGATCCTCAGGTCTCAGCTCCCTGAGTAGCAGCATCACAGGTATAAGCCCCTGGTGCCCTGCCCCATTTCTAATTCTGAGTTAAGGAAAGTTCTTTCAAAATCTCCATGTCTACAGATATGTGTCTTCCCCGATGCTGCGCCTGGGTCCATCTGGTGCAAGGTCAGAGGCAGGGACAGGAGCTCCCTGCTGGACGTCTTTATGAGTGTCCTGGAAGCCCAGAGGCCTCCAGTGGATGAGGTATATGCCATCCTTTGGCTTTGAGGCTGGTGGCTCTGTAGGAAGAGTGGCATGGCCTTGATACAGCTTTGGCCCAATGTGGACTGCCAACACGATACAAACTGCCAGCAGGACAAAGGCAGCAATGATAATAGTGAGCAGCGGCAGCCCATCCTCAGGAGGTGGCTCCCAGGCCCCACCTAGCACCTCTGGGAGCTGCTTCTGGGGCTCCTGCTCCAATGAGCCATTCACAGCTTGAGAAGCCTGGAATGGGATAAAAGGCAGAAGGGAAAGGTTGGCAAGGGCATGTATATAGAGAGAGGAAGTACAAAATATAGAGAAAAGGAAACAGAGACAGACAGTTCCAGGGAAAGACAGGAACAGAAGCAGAGACAGAAACAACAAGAGTACATAGAACGAGGGCCTGGGAAGGTGGCTCAGTGGTAGAGCGCTTGCCTTGCATGCATGAGGCCCTGGGTTCGATTCCTCAGCACCACATAAGCAGTAAAAGCCAGAAGTGGCGCTGTGGCTCAAGTGGTAGAGCACTAGCCTTGAGCTGAAGAGCTCAGGGATGGCGCCCAGGCCCAGAATTCAGGCCCCACGACTGACAAAAAACAAACAAAAAAAATGGCATACATAGAACAGCAGAGACAGAAAAAGTCATTGAGAAAGGGGCAAAGAAAGAGGCTTCAGCACAGTTCAGCATAATAGAATTTGTCCCCAGAGTCACCTCCCACTGCCTCTCTTCCTACATCTCCAGCAAATACCTAAACAGATCCTGTATCAGTCTGAGCCTATGTCCTGGGCAGTGAGCAGGTCTGGAAAGAAGAGTTCTTATCCAGTCTCTGAGGCTCCCATAACCCTAGCTTACTAGAAGGTAGAAAGGGGAGAAGGCTTGGGTCCTTTCCTCCAGTTCTCCTGGGGCCTGGAGTAGGGGCCACGGTAGATTCCTAGCTGTACTCTAGCCAGTCCATTTGTCAGGGTTCCTGAGTTGTTTTACAAGAGTTAGAGGTATGTGCTTTCTACTTCTGTCTCCAGCCTGCTACATGTTGAGTGAAAGTGGGAGGATTGCAGTGAAGTATATAAGCCATAAAATCACAACCCCAGGGCTGAATGTGGTGGTATATACCAGTAATCCCAGCTACTCAGGAGGCAGAAATTGAAGGATTGTGATTCAAAGCCAGCCTATATTAAGAAACAAAACCAACAAACAGGTGCAAGAGACCTCATTTCCCTCCCCAACCACCATCCTGCCACAGACAAGACTGCATTGGCCCCCTCTCTCTAGCCCTGAGCCCTGAGCCTGGGCCTCCCTGTGGTTAGGCAATTGGGGTCCAGGAAAGGGTGTCAGGGCAAACCCATTTCCTTTAGCCACACAGTTATGTCCCATCTCCTATATGTGTCCCCGTGGAAATACTGCCCACTTCCCCTTACAAAGTGGAGCTTCTCTGGGTTCTCTGGGAGCTCTCTGAGCCGCTGACCCAGGGTTCCCAGGGCAGGGGGCAGGAAAGCAGCTCCGGTTGTATAGGGAGAGAAGGAAACTCAGGCCTGGAAAGGCATGGGGCCCCTAGAGGGAGTCAGGCCAACCTGGCAGGAAGGGGTGAGCAAAGAGTCTACCTGGTGCATTGTCCGGGACTTTCACAGGGCTCCTTTGGGACTGGAGGCCAGCTGGGTAAAGCAGTGCTCGCTGCCCTCGCTCCCCTACCCAGAGCTGCCACGTCTGCGGGGCACACGCCCTCTGCATACACCCTTACTGCTCTTTCCCGCGCTCATACTTCCGGGAACATCTGAGCTACCCCGGGCCAGCCCCTAGCTCTGAGAGTACCTTGATCTTCCTCCTTGGCACCTGCCTTCTGAACTTTAAGAACCTGATCAGCCTGCTCACTCCTCAACCCTTCTCTATCAGACTCCAGCCACCCAGCCAACACTGTTTCTTCCTACTAGATCATACTGACTCCCATCTCTACAGATTTCCTGCTGTCTTTTGATGGTTTGGTTTGGTTTGGGGTTTTAGTTTTTTTGTTTTTGTTTGTTTGAGATATGGTCTCTAGACAGCCTAGGCTTGTCTCAAACTCACAATTCAGTGGTGGGATTACAGGCATATCCTACTGTACCTGGATCGATCTTTTTATTTTTTCTTTTCTTTTGTTTTTTGTTTATTTTTGAATTCAGGGCCTCTCTGCTTTCAAGGCAGGAACTCCATCACTTGAGCCAAATCCCTAGCCCGTTGTTGTTTTGAGACAGTCTTACTGTTGTAAGGTAAATCATTCCAGAAGCCACATTTTAAAATTTAGAATATTGGAGTCTTTATTATACAGTTAACAGGCTGCAGGTCGCCAGTTGTTACAAAGGCCTGCAGCATGCAAATACACATAACCCTGCTCGGAAAGATACTAAAGAGGAAAGAAATAACAAGAACAATACCAATAAGCCAATTCAGCTCCAATGGAGAGCTGAATTGGGATGCCATGAAGAGACTGGAGGTGAGCCAGGAGCCAGGAGACAGGATAGATCTCAGATACACAGGTGGCATGGATTCCTGGCTGCTAGGCTGGTCTGGGCCAGGTCCATACAGGGGGCAGATCCTCAGGAAATTCCCAGTCCTAGGCAGTAACCTATCAGCCAAGTACCTGCCCCTGCCTCCAGGGGGCAGTTATGGAACTTTCTGATCTCACCTTAATCACACCCTACATCTAAACGTCTGATAAAAAGTTCTAAGTCCTAGGCATTTATCCAAATGACTACAAAGCAGGCCACACTAAAGTCACAAGCACAACCATGTTCATTGCAGCTTTGCTTACCACAGCTAAGATATGGAATCAACACAGATGCCCCTCAGTGGATGAATGGATCAAGAAAATGTGGTATAAGCCAGGCACCAGTGACTCACACTTGCAATACTAGCTACTAAGGAGGCTGAGATCTGAAGATCATAGTTCAAAGCCAGCCTGGGCAGGAAAGCCTGTGAGACTCTTATCTCCAATAAGCCACCAGAAAACTGGAAGTGGTCCTGTGGCTTAAGTGGTAGAGTGCTTGCCTTGAATTGAACAGCTGAGGGACAATGCCCAGGCCCAGAGTTCAAGCCCCACAGCTGACAAAAAAGAAAGAAGAAAGGAAAGAGAACGTGTTATATATACACAGTGGAATTCTATGATTCTATGCTTTCATCAGAAAGAATGACATTGTCCCACTCATGAGGAAATGGAAAGACTTGGGAAAAATATTAAGCGAAGTAAGCCATACCCAAAGAAACATAGGTTACATGTTTTCCCTCACTTGTAATAAAATGTGCCTATAAATCTACAAGTAATGGATCGTAAAAGGCAAAAAATGACACCTGGATATGATTAAACAGGACCCCAAAAATTCACACAGTGAGACCAAAGGCAGATATTCTTTGGAGAGGATCCCAAGAACTCAATAGCTGTGTGCATATGATCATATAAAATGATGCTTATCAAAATGAACTCCAAGAGATAGTAACAAGAGGCTTTAAAAAAAATTATACTTTTTTTTTTTTTTTGCTTTTGTCATTGTTTTTGATTTCTGCACCTTTGTCTTGTATGTAAATTTGTCTGATTTGGGAAAGGGAAAGGGAAGCACAGAAACAGTGGGACAAAGGATGAACTAATTCAGAAGTGATAGTCATTAGCAGTTATGTTGGAAATGAACTATACAACTTGGGGGCGGAGGGGGTCAGGATGGGAACAAAAAAAAACAGAAAATGAGGGAAGGGGTGACACTGCTCAAAAAGAAATGTACTTACTACCTGACTTTTGTAACTTTAACCCCTCTGTACATCACCTTTACAATAATTTTTTTGGGGGGGGGTCAGTCGTGGGCCTTCAACTTCTGGGCTTGGGCGCTGTCCCTTAGCTCTTCAGCTCAAGGAGAGTGCTCTACCACTTGAGCCACAGCACCAATTCTGGTTTTCTAGTGATTTAATAGAGATAAGAGTCTCACGGACTTTCCTGCCAGGCTGGCTTTGAACCAAGATCCTCAGATCTCAGCCTCCTGCGTAGCTAGGATTATAGGCGTGAGCCACTGGCATCCAGCAATTTTTTTTTTCAAAGCTGTAGATTGCAGGTACTGATGGATAACACCTAGCTATTTAGGAGACTAAGATCTGAGGATTGAGGTTCAAAGCTAGATTAGGCAGATAAGCCTCTTCTTTTTCTTTTTTGGTCGGAGATTGAGTTTGAATTTGATCCTTGACGCTTTTACTCATTGGCAAGCACTCTAACCCCAAGACTTTTAGCTCTCATTAGCCAGAGCTGGAGGTATGATCCAAGCTGCTTTAAACCCTGTACTGGTGTGTGCAGGTGCACACACACACAGACACACACACACACACACACACACAGAGCTATAGGAATGTGGGAATAAATTAAAATATACTAAAATTGATTTTCGATGTGATGACTGTGCTCATCTAAAGTAGTATGGTCCGAACATACTAGAATGATTGAATTTTGAAGAAGAAAACATCCAAACAGTAGGAACAGAGCTTGACACAGTGTGTAAGAGCCTAAGTAGGGTGTGGAAGGCATCTGTGAGGCAGGGAGCAGGCAGAGACGGCAGCTTAGTTACTGCAAGGAGAATGATCAAATAAGTAAACATACTAAGGACAATGTGAACCAGATTTCAGAGAAAAGCCTTGGAGAAGTGGTGTAACTGGATGTAATGAGTTCACACATTGATGAATGCAAAGCCAAAATGCACAGCCAAGAGATAAAAGAGTAGAGAAAGACTTATTACCTACAGCAGAGAAGAAACTGGTGTTCTTTCCAAATTGTCAAGAAAAGTCAGCCTGAGGTTTTTATTTAGGGATCTTATACATATTAATATAGAAAATCATATTAGAAATAAGCACATTCCTAAGTATGTTCAGCTTTCAGGTGAAAAGCCCATTCTGGTGGTGCAGGCCTATAATCCAATTCTAGCCTTTGAGAGGCTGAGGTAGGAAAGAGATATTTTGGAACTAGCATGGGTACATAGGAAGTTCCCTGTTTCCATGCCCATACCTTTTTTTTTTTCATTAGTTATGTTTAAAATAGGGTGTTAAACATCTGTCAGGGGATAGTCTCAGACTTCTGGCCACAATCCTCCTACTTACAGCCTCCTGTGAAGCTGGGATTACAGGCATGAACCACATTGTTCAAAATTGTTAATTGAGCTGGTAGCTAACACCTGTAATCTCAACTATTCCGCCAATCTAAGGATTGACTTTCTAAGCCAGCCTGGGCAGGAAAAATCTATTAGACTCTTTTTTTTTTTTCTATCAGTCATGGAGCCTAAGTGCTGTCCCTGAGCTCTTTTGCTTAAGGTAACCCTCTACCACTTTGAGCAACAGTGCTACTTCAAGTATTCTGGTGGTTAATTGGAGAGATGAGTTTTAAGGAGAGCCCAGTGCTGGTGGTTCACGCCTGTAATCCTAGCTACTCAGGAGACTGAGATTTGATGATTGTGGTTTAAAGCAATCCTGTCAGGAAAGTCCATGAGACTCTGATCTCCAACAAACCCAGAAAACCAGAAATGGCACAGTGGCTCAAGTGGCTGAGGGACAGCACCCAGGCCCAGAGTTCAAGCCCCACAACCAACAAAAGCAAAAAACAAAAAAACAATCTCATGGACTTTCCTACCCGGTCTGCCTTTGAACCATAGTCCTCAGATCTCAGTCTCCTGAGTAGCTAGGATTACAGGCGTGAGCCATCATCACCCAGCTTCTATTAGACTCTTATCTCCAATTCTACATCAAAGTCCAGAAGTGGAGCTGTGGCTCAAATGGTAGAGCTCTAACCTTAGCTTTGAGCACAAAAACTCAGGAACAGCACTCAGACCCTAAATTCAAGCTCTAGGACTGGAACACACACACACAAATTATTAGTTGGGATGTGTGTCTTGCTAACTTTTTTTTTTTTTTTGGTCGGTCATGGGGCTTGAACTCTGGGCCTGGGCGCTGTCCCTCAGCTCTTCAGCTCAAGGCGAGCGCTCTACCACTTGAGCTACAGCGCCACTTCCGGTTTTCTGGTGGTTTATTGGAGATAGGAGTCTCACAGTCTTTCCTGCCCGGGCTGGCTTTGAACCGCGATCCTCAGATCTCAGCCTCCTGAGTAGCTAGGATTACAGGCGTGAGCCACCAGCGCCCGGCTCTCTTGCTAACTTTTTGTCCAGACTGATCTCAAACTGTGATCCTCCTGATTTCTGCCTCCTGAATATCTGGGTTTACAGGTGTGAGGTAGCACTCCTGGTCTACAGCATATATTTCTGAGCATGCTCAGTTTAAAGTCATAGTGGCAAACAGGAACACTTCTGGGAATGCACAGTTTAATTTTATAACAAGCCAAATTTATTTCAGGTCACCTTAAAGAGAGAGTAAGAGTGGCTCAGTGACATTGGCCAGTTCTAGACAAGTTTCTCCAAAGAATTTTAGCTAAAAAAAAAAAGGAACTATACTCTGAAGATACAGTAATACAGGCATTTGCCCCGAAAGGAACTTGCCCGGATTAGTAGTCAACATCTATACCTGAGTACCACTGTATACATCTGCCACCTAGATCTCAGTCTGTAGACATCACTTTAAATAATAAAGGTTATTGTAGAAATAATTGATTCTAAGGCTACGGCAGGTAAATAAGTACAAGATAAACTTGGAATATTTCTTCCTACTGGAAAATAAAGAAATGTTTAAAGAACG